AGTTCCAAATGTGGAGCAGGAAGGTTGATTACTTCAGCACTCAGTAGTGGGGTTAGAGATCCCACGTCTTCCATGACCCCACTCTTCTACCCTCAGCCTGTCAGCCTGGGCATCCCAGCAACTGGCAGATGGCTGGCACCGTTCTCTGTTGTCCCGTGAGGTCATGTGACAGAGCGAGTATTTCTTGTGTTTCTCTTTAAAGAAGATGAACTCTTTCCCATCAGCAATCCCCCATCTGCTTGTGAGAAACCTCACGAGTCCGTCCACACTTAGCAACCAAAGGCAGAGCCTCATTTCCGTGATTAGGATTGAAGCATGTGATTGGTCCGAGTCTCACAAAGACAGATGTCTAAACAAAATCAGCTTCTTCCCTACGACCCAGCAACTGCACTCCTAGGTATTTAGCCAAAGGATACAAAAATGCTGATTCAAAGGGGCACATGCACCCCAATGTTTAGAACAGCATTATCAACAACAGCCAGATTGTGCAGTAACCTCTATGACATCAACCATAGCAACTTCTTGCAAGACACGTCTCTAAAGACAAGGGGAACAAAAGCAGAAATGAGCTATTGGGACTTCATCAAGATTAAAAGCTTCTGCACAGCAAGGGAAACAGTCAACAAAACTAAAAGGCAACCCACGGAATGGGAGGAGATACTTGCAAATAACATATCAGATAAAGGGCTGGTACCTAGGGTCCATAAAGAATTTATCAAACTCAACAGCCAAAAAACAAATAATCCAGTCAAGAAATGGGCAGAAGACATGAACAGACACTTCTCCAAGGAAGACATACAAATGGCTAACAGACACAAGAAAAAATGTTCATCATCACTAGCCATCAGGGAGATTCAAATCAAAACCACATTGAGATACCACCTTACACCAGTTAGAATGGCCAAAACCAACAAGACAGTAAACATCAAGTGTTGGAGAGGCTGTGGAGAAAGGTGAACCCTCTTACACTGTTGGTGGGAATGCAAGTTGGTGCAGCCCCTTTGGAAAACAGTGTGGAGATTCCTCAAGAAATTAAAAATAGAGCTTCCCTATGACCCTGCCATTGCACTACCCCAAAGATACAGATTTAGTGAAAAGAAGGGCCATCTGTACCTCAATGTTCATAGCAGCAATGGCCACAGTCACCAAACTGTGGAAAGAGCCAAGATGCACTTCCACAGACAAATGGATAAGGAAGATGTGGTCCATATATACAATGGAATATTACACAGGCATCAGAAAGGATGAATACCCAACTTTTGAATCAACATGGACGGGACTGGAGGAGATGATGCTGAGTGAAATAGGTCAAGTAGAGAAAGTCAATTGTCATATGGTTTCACTTACTTGTAGAGCATAAGGAATAACAAGGAGGGCATTAGGAGAAGGAAAGGAAAAGTGAATTGGGGGAAATCAGAAGGGGACACGAAACATGAGAGACTGTGGACTCTGAGAAACAAACTGAGGGTTTTGGAGGGGAGAGGGGTGGAGGGATGGGTGTGCCTGGTGGTGGGTATTAAGGAGGGCATGTGTTGCATGGAGTACTGGGCGTGGTGCATAAACAATGAGTCTGGAACACTGGAACACTGAAAAAATAAAATTAAATTAAGATGTGAAAAATAAACAAGCAAACAAATAAATAAATGAAATAAGATAAATGAAGTAGTGCAGAATTTAGAAAGAAATCAGGTTCTAGATTTTGGGCTGGAGACAGTCTATTAAGGTCATGGAGCAGCCTTGGGCATGCAGACAAGTCTGACCTCAGTGTCCACCTCCATCATTTTACTTCTAACATTTACTCAGCAAAATTTCAAGTAAGTTATTTTAAACGTTTGCAAGTTCTGCCTTATTAATTTTTCGAGGCAGAGAATAGTGTTTCTAGTGTGGGTGGAATCATGCGGTCATTTCTCCCAGTGTCTCTGAGGTGGGTTGAATCATGCCAGGTTTTATTCAAGTGTCCGTGGGTCTCAGTGTGTTGTCTGCGTCTGTGTCTGTGACAGGGACAGAGTCATTCATGGCTGTGGAATAGCAGATGAGGCCCTGACTGCCCATAACCGTCTTAATACTAGTTAGAATCTTATTCGCGTTGGTATCGTAAAGGTAAAGAAGAGCAAGCTAAGCTGCGCGGCCTTGGAAACGGTGTCGCAGCTGACTGAAGTGTCTCGAAAGCTCAGCCTCAGGCACTGTTCCTTCAGAGCGGTGCATCCGGAAGCGGTGCCACGACAAACTAGGACGTATTTGCAAATGAAAATGAATACTTAACAAACGTGCATATGTTTCCCAACAGTGACGCTAATTAAGCTCCAGTAAATGCAAGTCCTCCTGTGTTTAATAAAATGATTGAGTATTAGGGATCAGTATGGCCGACATTCATTTTTGCATATGGATCTACCATGACTTCACAGTTAAGTTACCAGGTGATTAGCACTAAGCCTTACAAATCCATTTCCCTGGCTGCATACATATTTCCAACAGGAGACGATGTGATTGTTGCCCAAATGTAATGGTGCCTTGTATCCAGCTGTTTACCGTATTTTGAGCCCTTTAGGAAGCTGGTTCTACTGAGATCTATTGCTAGGTCCATCCACATGTCTGGGAGAGGCATGCACATGCCCGAGCGGTACGGATCCTTGGGAAAGACAACTCGCCCTCGAAGAAGTGGTGTAAGAGAGGTGTCCTAAAGGTGCTGACTCTTCAAAATACTATTAAGCCAGAAGTTTCCAATTAAGCCGTTTGCATATTTTTGAGTTTGTCTATGTAAGTAGCGGGCAGCCAAAGATTGTATGTTGGTTTTACTCTCTGGTTCACATTCTTGGATAAACTCCTCGCTTAAGTTCTTTTCACATATACTCTCACGTGTTCCTATCTGCCCAGTCCTGAGTGGAGGGACAGGAACATGTATTCAGTGTGGGGTAGCTACAGCTGTACTACACAGGAATGTTTTCTATCCCAAGTGAGAAAGAGAAGTGGGTAAAAATAGCTCCATCCTGGCCAAGAGCACGGTGCGGCTCAGGCACCCTGGCTTCCTTCCCTGAATACACTTGCGGTGTGGAGAGTTAGTCAATGAACGGCATGCTATGTGTGGAACAGAATTTCAGTTAAATTACCATCAAACCATGTCCTCGGCAGGAAACAGATCCTTGATGTATGGGGTAATAACTTCCTTAGGTTCCTCTAATAAGAAACTCAGGAGCACATGAATGTCACTTAGTTTCTACCTGTCTTTAGAGAAGTTCGGTGGTGTGGTTGCTGTGGCGACACACCCATGGTCACGGCTGCGAGTCTCACACTGCGTCAGGGGAAGCCGCCGCCTGCCTTCTTCCGTGGAAGAAGCACCATCCCTCTGCATGCTTAGGCTTGCCCACGGCTTGGTCCAAGATGAGACACGTGTTGTAAGTTGACCTGCACGTAGACTGGTCAGTGGTTTTCTCTGAAGATCGTGGGCCGTGAAGGTCTGTGCCCAAAAGAGCAAGGAAGGCAGAGCTAATTCTCCAATGCGATCAAATTATTCCCTGTCTCTGGAATTTTTACAGTGGAATATGGATAGCTGTGGCCCACTGGAAGTGGAGGAAGGTCGGCTCACAGAAAGCAGCAGTGGCTGCGAGTGTCCTGAGTGGGAGAGGAGAGCCACCGCTTTCCAGCTCGGCCCTGAGTTCTTTTATTTCCGCGTGTATGTAGATAATGCAGATCCACACCCGTAGCCTGAGTGAGTTTCCCTTACTTTCAGTCAGAAGGCTTTAATACAGTCCCCCGAATAATTATTCTATTTTCTGGAGCATTATCTAGTGTGTGTCACCCTGACAGGCCTGGAGACAAGGGCTGTGACCGAAGACGTGATCACATAATGTTTGGCACTGCCAGAAGGCGCCCTTCCACCTCAGAGATAGGGGTCTCCGCCGGCTGGTGTGGGGACCCCCGTCATCTTGGAAAGAACTTTGCAAAGTTTTTTTTTTTTTTAACCTTCTTTAAAAGTCACTTTAAAAGGTTTTAAAATTCACAGACCCAAAGAAAAAAATAACCGTCCTAAAATGAGTGTCGGATGGTGTCCCCTGGCCACTGGGGAGGCAACGGGAACTCCTTGGGGGGAGCTCCATGACCCCTGGGCAAGGTGGACGTGTGCCTCCACTCCGGCAGATGTCTGCCCGGCAGCTGGGCGGACGTCGCAGGGAGACACGCACGAGGACGTCTGCGGAGGTGCTGCTTGTAAGACAGCTCACGGGGTGAGTGGGTCGGGAAGGGGCAGCGGGCGGTGGGGCTGGACGGAGGCCCTGGGAGCCGGGAGGAGGCCGCGTTTCCCAGACCCCTTCCGACCGACACCTGCAGCTGGGGAGGTGGACCTCCCGGCGTGGCCGTCCTGGGGGCGTTGAGTCCCAGAAGGAAAAGCAGACACGGGTTCCCCTTGGAAATGCAGCCCCCCCAGAGCAAGCAGCCCTCCGGTGGAGCTGAGACACGTCTCCAAGATCTCGCCGCATTCTGTGTGGCGTTGCTAAGGATAAAGCGAGGATGGCCCGGTGGCCTCCATGCCTCCTCTGAGGACCGCCCGTTTCCTTCCTCGAGACCGTTCGTGTATCGTTCTGCAGCTGGGACGTTCACGGCCAGCACCGAGCTTATCTGACCCGCACATTCATTACTTTGACTCTGGCGGAACCTGAACATTCCTTCCCTCCGGCGGTCTGAGCCCGGCGCCCCGAGGGCAGCAGCTCCGGCCGTGCCTCCCAGAGCTCGACCGGCACCTGCTCGGCTGCGGGACTCTCCCAGCGGGCCAGTCCGCACCCCGGGTCCCGTCACACCAGGGGCCTGTGTGTGTGTGTGTGTTTGTATGTGTCTTGAGATGCCATTAAAATTCTTACAAAAACTGAAAGTGAAATGAGGAAATGATTGGGCAATCGGATTGAAGCGCCGGTGCCGGGAAGACCTATGCTGCAGCGGGGCCAGGACGAGGCCGGGCGGACGGAGGGGAGCGCAGGAGAGCTGTCCTGAGGGCGACCGCAGGGCCAGGCCCCCGAGTCAGTGTAGGACACCAGCAAGCACAGCTCACAGGAAATGAGCCATTCCCTGCGCTTGCTTACTCGAAAGGCCCGAACCTTCAAAGTTCCAGGAGTGCCATGGATGGCTGCACAGGCCGGCAGTCACGCCTTTCTCCCCGCCTGGAGAGGGGAGAAGAAATGAAACTGAAGGAGTGTGTCTCCATCCTCCCCCTGAAGGAAAGCCCCTCTGTCCCAGTCTCCAAAGATGGAACGCTGCTGGCCGTGACCTTGCTGCTGGCCCTGGCGGCCGGCTGCCTCTCGGTGCTGGCCTTCTGCAGGGTGGCTGCCCTTCAGGCCGAGCTGCGGAGCCTCCAGGCGGAGCTGCGGGAACTCCACCGGGCTGAGCAGCTGCCAGGCGCCCCCCAGGCCGGAGCCGCAGCCCCCAGGGCAGCCGTGCGGGAGGCCCCAGCTGTCCCCTCGGCTCTCAAAGTGAGTTTGCAGCAGCTGCCTCCCTCCAACCCCCGGGCGTGGGTGGGCTCGCCCCGCACAGCCGCCTCCCGCACCTCAGCTGTCTGTGCAGTAACTTGGGGTTTTTCTCTTCTTAGGGGATCTCTGCACCACCCGCTGCAGGAGGGGCCAACTCCAGCCAAAGCAGCAGGAACAAGCGCGCTCTTCAGGGTCCAGAAGAAGCAGGTAGGTTTCCGGCACAGGAGCATCTGGGACTCAGGGAGCCTGGCGTCCACAGGTGCGGAGGACGGTCTTTGCTCTGGGGCCCGAGAGCCGACCAGGGCACGGAGACCGTGAAAGTTGCATCTAAACCAGGGGAGGCTTTTAGGCACAACCGGTGCACAGCACGTCTGTCCTCCAATGAGCAGTGTGAGGGCTGAGCTGTCCCGTGAGCAGAGAGGAGGAGGAATGAGCCACAGAGTCTTCCTCGTAGATCATGACTGTGTCAGAAACTGGGTCCAGCCCTGTGGGGAGAAAGCACCGCGTGTTAGTGCAGATTCTGTCTACCTGAGTCTGGAAAGCCAGGGCAAGGGGAACACTTCCTGACAGCGCATGGCTGCCCTGCGGCCCAGGGAAGCGCCTATTGCAACAGGTGTGTGTTTGTGATTTCTTTTGTTTATTGCCTTCGTTTAAAAAAAAAAAAAGTTCATTTTACACACACGCGCACACGCGCACACACACACACACGCGCGCAGAGATTTTAAAGCTTCTCTTTAAGGCTTTTCCAGGAAATCCACAAGTTTATAATCTTGTAAGAGTTCTCCAGGGATTCCTGCCTTTGTTCATGTCCCACTTATTCCCAGAGTCCCAGAGTCCCAAACCTCGGGAGGCAGGGCCTCCCAAAATGCTCGATTCTAGTTCCTGCACTTCAGAGATGAAAAAGAGCATTTGCATTACATTCAGTAGCATCACAACTGAAGAAATCCGTGGTATCGTTTCTCTTGTTTTGGAGGACCGTGTCTGGAGCACACAGAGTGTGTCGGGCAGGCACGTGCTACGAGAGCTGTTGTCATGGCTACTGTGTCCTTAAACACTCACCCTGACCGTGAGGCGGCAGGACAGGTGTAGCTGTATAGGTACAGGTGTGTGTTTGGGGAGGGAAGGGCCTGACTTACCGGCCAAGTGCTTTTCCGTCAGACTACACACACGCGCACACTCACACAAACTCACATACACTCATACACATACATACATTAGATGCTCTGGCTGGAAACTATTTTCACTACTTGCCTTGTTCATGGACAAAATTCTTAACCTATAAAACCATGATTTTTATGTATTATCAAAAGCAGATGGGTTGAAACATATATAAACTAGGAAACACTAATATTTTTATTATACTTTAATAAATGAATTAGTTTCACTTTGCATTTTACCTGTGTTTCCTACATAATTGAAAAAATACAACATAAACTGTGGTATATTTTTGTGTCCACTTATCATACAATAAGCCTTTTCCCTACTTCTAAGTAATTCCGTATTAGTTTGCTATATCATACAGTTATTTAATGTGACCACTTCCAAAATTTTGTGCAGGTCTCTTGTTTCTGAATTATATGTTTCACTTAAATTCTGTAGATAGACTATCAGAGCTAAAAGAGGATGAATGTCTTTACCACCCTCGCTGCCTCTTGCCATTTAGCTTTCAAAATGAGTTATAAATGTGCACGGTCAGAAATGCCGTGGACGGGTTCTCCACATTCTTACAGCATCTTATCTGTTAAATTTTATTTTGGCTAATTTAGTGGTTATAAAACTATCTCAAATGTAATTTGTTGCTTGCCTACAAAGAAGAATTTCTTTCTGCATATTTGGATAATTTCTAATTTTCTATCCTGCTAATTTTTATTCATAACTTCCCTCATTTGTCCTAATTTTTCTTTGTAATTTTGAAGAAACTATGTTAGACATATTGCTTATCAAAATTTTGCTGTAAATATTTTCACAATATTTTACTTCTTTTTTTAAATTGTATAGAGATTTTATGTCTGTGTATTTAATATTATAAACTTTTCCTTTTCATCTTCTCTAATACATTAAAGCTAAAAATGTATTTATTCATAATCTCTTACATAGCCTATTCTATTCGCTGCTACTTTGACTTTTTTATAACTTCGTGTTTTAGTTTGGTTTTTAACTCCTTAATCCTCCTGGCATTCATTTGGCAGATCATGTCTACTAGCTTTAACTTCCCCTTTTTTCTTTTATTTTCTCCTTCCAAATTACTGCTAAATATCTCAACTAAATTTATTGGATAATTTTTTAACTTGTTTACATTGGGCAGCTTACTGTTTTGTATTAAGTCTCTCATATATAGTTGAATCTATTTTGGACGGTCTTTTCATTGATTTATTATTCTATTTATCTGCATTAAATAAAATATTCAAGTATTTTATAATATAATGAGCTTTATATCTAGTACCTCAGTCTTCTTCAACCTCTATGCTAGTATTCCCAGCCTCCGCACATGAGTTTTACAAATAAACCTTAACTTGACCATCTCAAAGAGGGTATGGGCTCTTTATAGCAGATTTAAGAAGAAAGGATATTGAGTAAGAAATTAATTAACTCCCAGAGTTCCACTTCCCCCAAATACCCTCTGTTCTATTCTAAAATTTCCTCCCATGTGCAGATTTTTACAAATTTGTGATTTTATGGCTTCCAAAAATTATATACTGATTAAAAATTTCCCTAAATAATTTGTAATTGTTAGAAAGTTTGGAAAGTAACACAAAATTCTATCAAGTGAATGAAAATTGACCCAGTTTCCCAAGTCCAGATGGAATTGCTATTGTTATTATCGTGGTTTGCCTGAGATGTTTTTAGACCTTTCATATAATGCATGTATCTGCATGGTATATGTGTGTACAGTATGTATAAGAATTCATCATATATATGTATGGTTAATGTAGCAGTAAATAGTACATCTCTTTCTCTACACACACACACATACACACACACACACTCAACATTCATAGGTCTGAGACAGAAGGCTTGAAGAGGAGAACCTCGGTGACAATCATCTTTACTTTTCCTCATTCGTGAAACTGGGTTGAATGTTGTTTTAGACACTATCGTTTTGTGCAGGGAAAGTAAATTTTGTTTAGCACGACCAAATTAATGTATCTATAAACAAGAGGTTTATCCAAAACTCCTTGATTTTTTTTTTCCCTCTGTTCAGTATGGTCCTTTTTTGGAATTGAGGAAATTCTGAATCTATGCAGCTTTCTTTGTTTTTTGTTTGTTTGTTTGTTTCTATTCTAGTTCTAATTTATTTTTTAAAGATACTTGTTAATTTATTTATTTGAGAGAGAGAGAAAGAGAGAGAGACCATGAGCTGGAGGGGTGGGGGCAGAGGGAGAGGGATAAGCAGACTCACCGCTGAGCTGGGAGCCTAACTGGGACTCTGGGCTCAATCCCAGGACCCTGAGGTCATGACCTGAGCCGAAACCAAGAGTTGGATGCTTAGCCCTGAGCCACCGAGGTGCCCCTAGTTCTGCTTTTTTTTTAAGTAAGACTCAAAAACTTTAGGTTGTCCCTGTTATTTTCAAAGTATCCATTCATGTGCTTATTTATTAATTTTCTATATACATTCTAGAACTATTGACATTTTTTGTTGGAACTTGATAAAAATTGTAACTCTGAAGAAGAAAATGAATTTTCACACTGTTTAATTGCTTAGTAGCTCTTTATTAAATATCAAATTTTAAATTTCCTAATTAGATAGAATTTTCCTTGTATAGGTTTTATTATTCTTTCATAGTTAATTATAAAAAAGGTTTTGTTGTGATTTCGAAGTCCTGGGATTTTCAAATAGGTTGTTAAACTCTTTGAGAATTTAACTCAAATAATGTTAAACTCTTAATGTTAAACTCTTTGGAAATTTCAGAATTTCCAAGAAATAATGCAGCATCCGATCTCATGGTTAGTTTTAAGCCACATCCGCACACTTATTGGATTTATACTTAATAGAATTACAATATTGTTTCAGATTTTGTTTTTAGGATCCTCTGTTTTCTACACTCCTTAGTATCACTGTGCTGTCACTTTGTGTCAGAAAGGTTCAGAGCTAAGTACTGCTCAGTAATATGCCAGAGTGTTGTGCATTTTTACTTCTCTGTAAATTCAACCTCGATTTCAGCAGGCACTACGGTTTTATCATGTGTCTATCTAATTTGTAAGTAAACTCCAGCGTGTTGGGCTAGAAAGCCGCAGGGGCTCAGCACACAGCACGCCTGGTGTCACGTATCACCTGCGGGAGGTTTATACGTGTCCTGTCTGTCCAGCTAGAGACCAGAGGCTTCTGTGCTCTGGGTCCTGTGTCTCTGGCACATTTGTCATGATACTTGCACACAGAGGTGTTCTGTGAATATTTGCTGATGGATTTTGGGCTCGTGAAGCAGTAAGATGCAATGATTTGGCGTCACTGGAAAGGGGAGATTTTCCCATATTTCTTCCTTTCTCAGGTTTTGATCAGAGGCTGTGTTATGCAATTTTTTAACTTGACATTTGAAACAGCCGATTCACCGAAGAATGAGTTTGACAGCAAGGCTGGAGTTGCAGGGAGCACCTGGGGGCCCCTTGCGCCCAAGACCTTCTTGGTTCACCAGATAGAGACACGATTAGGGCTCGCTGAAGAAGCTTTCATATTCAACAACCTGTGTGACTAATTTTGTGGATTTCTGTCCTTATTTAATGCTTTGGTTCTAATTGAAATATTATTTATGTACGGAAAAGGGCACAGATCCTAAGGGTACATCCTGGGGAGAGTTCCCAGAATAAACATTAGGTGGAGGGGCGGACATCACTCTCAGCCCCCTTGCCCACTGGGTGTTCCTCCAGGCCTCCCGAGGGCGAATTCTGCTCTTCGGTCGTTGTACTGTTTGGGTGCTTGGCTCCGGTTTTGTTTTCCTTAATCGTGTTGTGTTTCAAATGGAGGTCTTACTAGGTTTCTGTGTTTCATAAGATAATTCCTGATTGTAATATAACAAACAGAAATGCGGGGAAATCCAGGATCAAAGAATTGCCAAATGGCTCATATTAGCCCAAAGTTCACTTTTCCGCCCCTAAGTGTATTTGGAGATATTCCCAATTAAAACTGTTAACTAAAGTGATCTGGCTTTGAAATATTCCTGTTAAAGTTTCTTCACAAATGGAATCATCACGATACCTGTAGTCAGCTCTCA